TTTTACTTCAATTGAAACTTTATTGAGAAGTGTTTACGTTTATTATAAAACAAGAAATTAATAATAAATTTATCAAACATACAATAATAAAAGAAATAATAAAGAAAAAAATTATTAATTTCTATTTTAAGATATACATTTGAAATTTGTGACATCACGTAATAATAGAAAGTTTACGCACTATATTCTTAAGTTATACATATTTAGATATTTGGAAAAGAAAAACATAAAGCATATTATTGTTAAAATAACGGTTTAATTATCTCTTATAAGGAAAACTCATTCGCGATATTAAGAAGGGTTAAAATGAGTTTGAAAAGATTTATTTTAGATATAATAAGGAAGATCTATTAGGCGTTGTACTTAGTCTTAGCGTGAATATACTGTTGCTTAATCGTCCGACTAATTCAGAGTTTCGCACGCGAACGACGATTTACGTCGAAAGGGAATTTCGTTCTAGTTATTCCGTTCTAGTTACTATTAACTTGTATCGGACTATATTAACTTCAATCAGGTCATACTTGTGAAACCATTAACATTTTAAGTGACAATGGCATTAAGCATTGTAAAATAGACATTAACGTAAAATAGGAATATCTCTGATTTATTTCCACAAATTAAGTTTTTATTTATATATATATTTTTGGATAATTTTTAATATCAAATAGAAATCATATTAAATATTTTTCTCTTTGTATTACATTTTTACTGCTGAATTTTATAGGAATTTTAAAACTTTTAATCATTTTACATTTCGTTTGTTGATTTGGAATATATAAAAATATTTGTGAGATTTATTATTCTCTTTAATTTTTAATACTTCTATTCTTAATTCTTTGTCTTAATTAAAACTTCATAAATTTGCATTTTATTCATAATTTATAGGAATATTAGGAAAAGTAAACTGTTGAAGATAAGGAGTGTTGGACATATGATATAATTATTTTTCATTTTTAAAAAAGGCATATTAAGTCGATACTCGAATATATCGAAATTATTGTTGTTTTCCGTTGTGCCGATTAGTTCTCTTGTTGCATTCATTTCATAAGCGGGTTATTGCGGAGATCGTTTTCAATTGTGTTGCAATATGCTATATTTCTAATATATTATTAAGAAGTTTCTAAATGTACATATACATATGTACATATATATAGAATATATATGACTTTCATGTACTGAATAAGATATTTAATCCTGGTAAAATTTAGGAAGAGGAGAGATAGATAAATAAAAAATACACATAAGAAACATATATTCTTATTACATAAATATAAGATATGAGCATTTTTTATAATCTTTGCTTCTATTTTTATTGAAAAAGATATCAAAAAGATTTAAATGAAAATTTAATGTTTTTGAAAACTACTAATATAAATTTTTACGCGATTTTGTGCCATTTCTATTATTGTTAAATATTTATTTAAAAATTTCAAAATTAAATGAATTTAATCAACTCCATATATTAATGTGTTTCTAAAGAAAATTTAATAAATTCGTTATTATTTTTAAATTATCTATATTATTTTATGTATTATATACATATATATATATATATATATATATATATATATATCTAATTTT